CGCCCCACTGCGAACCTTGTTCGGACATCACTGGTATCCATCACTTGGGTCTTCTTGGTTCAAAGGAAACATCCTAAGGATGTTCCAGGAGTGCCCACTGCAGAACACTCTTTGGGATCTACCTTGCAATCATATAATCACTTCCGCGAAAAGTCCAAAGAACATTCTCAGTGGAAAAATAAATTTCGTATCTAAATAAATATAATAAATAGTAAATAATAAAATAATAAATCTAATTTCCTAATGGCTTAAACAGAATGTAACGGTTTCCGTAATGAGCACCTCGTGGGAAGCATTTTCTCAGCGAAGCGCGTGCGAACACCCTGCCTGATCGAAAGGAAAGTAATAGACCGTACCGACTTGACAACCGTCTCTGACTTAAGAGTCTCTATTCATTCGTTGAAGCTAGATTGAGCGGAATTTCTGCACGGTTCCCCCATGTTTCATGACCCGGCTGCTCCTTGCCGTACTTTCCGAGTGCAATATGGAATCCCTGTGTTCGACGGAGATTGGTACCAACGACACTCTACGTCATTCACGGATGCATGAAACCTTCGTACTATCAAGGAATCACTCACCGTTTCTTGCTTCAACTTCCGGGGTCATGCGGTACCAGTGGAAAATATGCCAGGAGCCACCGAGGAATTCCAGAAGATTAGCTCTCCAACACATCGACAGTACCCGGTCAGAGCTGGAATATTTAGGTTGCGGGTACGATCACTTTATTTCCGTGGCTTTCTTCGACCATTAATGAATATTCTATGTGTTCGCTCTGTATTTGCCGGGAATAAGGATTTCCTCCGGGAAAACATAAGGAACTCAGAAAAACGCTTAAAGCTGAGAAGAAAAGTAGATGGGAATGCAATGGAGGAAAATCCCCCGCCCCTCCATCCACCCTTTCCCCACCTCACGAACAAAATTGACATCTGCGAAACCTGAATCGCACATTCCGCATTAATGACCCATTTAAAAGGCAGGGTTCAGATGTGGACCTGACCAGATGCGGACGTATCACATATTCTCAAATATTGGGTTGATGCAAAATTAACGACCGTTTTTATTGATTCTAAATGTTTTCAACAATACAACACCAATGTACACTCAAAACATGTTTAAATGATCATTCTGGAGCATAATCGCCATCTACTTCAATAACTGCTTCCCATTAGCTTGGCAAACGATCGATTCCACGTGCAAAAAAGTGACGATCCTTGGATGCAATCCACGCTTTGACGTCAGCGACAAGCTCGTCCAAATCATCGTAGACTTTGCCCGTCTGCCAATTTTTGAGGGAACGATTGACGTGGTAGTCTGCAGGAGCTTCAGTCGGAGAATATGGCGGGTGCTCAAGCAGTTCCCATCCGTTGTCGTTGATTGATTGGATTACTCGATTTTCGACATATGGCCTGGCGTTGTCATGGTGAAACACGATGTGGTTCTTCTTGCGAGGGCGTTTGGCTTTTATGGCGGCTTCTAACCATGACTCATCGCCAGTGACGAAGAACTGGAGAAATGGATTTTGCTCATTTCGCTGCAGCAATTCGCTGAAGATGCGGACTCGCTCGGCCTTGTTGTCATCGGAGAGTTCGTGTGGGACCCATCCAGCCAATTTCCATACTTTTCCGAGCTTTTTGAGTCGCCTGACAATAGTGGACAGGTCGGCATCGAATTGCTCGGCCAACATCCGTGTCGTCAAAAACTTTCGTCTTCTTCCACCGCTTGCAAAAGAGCTTGATCATCAAAATCAGACGGACGACCTCTTCCTTCCTCATCTTCTAAGCTTGTGTTGCCGGATTTGAAACGATTGAACCATCTTCAGACTTGTCTTTCACCGATTGTTCCTTCACCGAAAAGTTCGTTGAGATCGCGAAATGCTTCAGCGGCAGTGTGACCTTTCCCGAAGTGATGAAGCATGATATGATGAATATGAACGTGGTTATCGACACGCATTCTTTTTAAAATGGTAAGGAATATTATCATGAAAAAAGATTGAGACAAAAATGCTAAATTTGAAAGATTCGAAGGGGACTAATAAAAACGGTCATTAATTTTGCATCAACCCAATACAAGGTACAGTCCAATTTTTTATTTTTGAAGTGCGTTTTTCATGTTCACATCTGTAACAGTGAAATGCTTTCGAATAGTTTATCAGAACTACTTCACATGGGCCTGGGAGCGCTAAAGGGCAATAAGAGAGCTTGAAAATTACGCTGATTTAATCTCTTTACATTAATCAGAACTAAACTATTGAGCACTTGAATGATGACGAGAGGACAAAAAGTAGAAACTTTTTTTGTCGATGACAAATTATAGTACCACAAAAATATTTTCCGAGGCGACCGAACTTCCGGCGAATTATTTTTTCTGTGGACCCTACCTGTCCACCGAATTGGATTTTAAGAATTGGAGGGGATCAGGCGTATGGATGTGAGGATATTCCATGAAATGCATTTTCCGTAGTAATCAATGCTTTTTTCGCATAGGCAATTACCCAGTCCAACAATTTTCATCGTGTCATGAATGGCTTTTCGTTGACAAATTATGAATACATTAGCCATTGCTGGGCCGTCACTGGAAGACGGTTGCATTGCTGTTCATTGAAGTCGGCTTATGGTCGGATATGTTCTGTCAGACCTTCATTGGACAAATTGTGGCACACTGTTGGAAATCTGCACATACCCCACGTTAACTCGGTCTCAAAAATGTCTGAACATGTTTCAATTAGTGACTATTTGTAATTGGTTCAGACTATGGCTGTGCACTTTTGAGAACTGATTAATGAATCAACTGATCACATTCACGTAAATTTATATCGAAATTCATGAAATCCTTCTATTAGTGTGGGATCTTATTTTAAGAGAGGTCGCTGCGGACCAGTGCAGTGGCCGCACCCGCCGCAAGCGAGAGGAAACCCACCATTTCACTGTTGCATGACAGAACAGACAATGCAGCGTATGGGTTTCAACCAATTTCGTGTGCCCGTGTACAGATTAATGGAGGGTGTTTTGAGCCACCTCTTTTAAGTTTGAAACTAGTAAGAAAAATGCACACATGGTCCCACGACAAAAGCGGCAAATTAATAAAAATGTCAAATCGAACACGCGATGCAACAGTTGATGCCACCACAAATAGTATATTTTAAAGTACACAATTCTGTGTTTTTATCATCTTAGCGGCGAAGTCATGCAACATCGCCATTTTTAATTTAAGGCAGCCAATATGTACTGTATATACTTCTACTCTTCACAGTATGCATTGTTTTTTATGCTTTCTTGAAGATGTTACTTAGACAAGAGCTACAAATTTGGGGGGATGTGACATGTGATGCGTTCTGTCGAAGGAGTCGTCTCATCCTCAGTTACGAATACAAAAGATTATTCTGCGACATCTTAAAGAAGAATGGGTTTTCACGCGGTAAAATGAGTCATGAAAATTGCCATTTTGACCGTCTTTGTTTTCAAGGGTTAATGCTGCTGGTTTCTCCTAGTAATCCAATAGTTCGAAATTCAAAATAGAACTTGGACCATTAAGTGCACTGGTAATCCATTGGCTTAGCAAATTTTCGTAAAGTGAGTCTTTTGGGAACGAAGGAAAGATCTTTTTTTTTATTATTGACCTTTGAGATTTTAAAAGCCAACGGTCAATATTTTTGGAGGCATTCTCCTGATCGGGAACTTCTCCCTTGCCAATCGGATCCGAGCGAAACCGGCATCGATGGATAACTTGGAATCTTGGGAAGTTTGACGTCACAATTTCGTCGCGATGAAACTAAAACTCGGCAAGCTACGCCATAAAGACCGTCGCAAATCTAGGGGGTCTACACTCTTATAAAATTCCGAGCGTTTGGGGAGTAAAAAGTGAGCACACCGTGAGCTTTCCGATTTTACTCTTTTATTACTCACCAAATGCTCCCTCATCGCTCGTATTGAAGTGAACATTTTCAAGTTCTTCGCCAGGCCCCTAGATGGCGGTAAGGGTCTCGCTTTCCGCACGGTACACAAAAGTTCCCTTCNTTCAAGTTCTTCGCCAGGCCCCTAGATGGCGGTAAGGGTCTCGCTTTCCGCACGGTACACAAAAGTTCCCTTCCCTCTTTCCCTGGAATCGTCCCTCGCAGGATTGTTTAGTACCTTGCCATATGTCTCGCCTAGTCTCATTATAGAAATCAATAAACATGGGCACTTCATCATTTTTTATCCACACATTCAAGACATATTCATGGAGTCCAGGTCATAAACTAGCTCATATTCCTATTGAGAACCCTTTTGGGAAGTGTTTGGTTTTCTCCGCATAGGAGATCTAGAACAAAAAGAGAGTGTCCGTGAATTTAATTTAATTATCTATCTCAATTAATTGAGGTAATAAGGGACTGATATCCCGGATACTCCACGGAACCTATAAGAGGTGATCCACCCTCTGACCTGTGTTGAAATCAGTACTGTCAGAGGTAAGTCATCGCCTACACGAGAGCGAAAGCGACGCACAATATATATGGGAATCTTCGTATTTGCATGACATCTCTATCGCTTTCTGATGGGAGCGTTTTTACTCACGGAGGAGGAGAGCAATTTTACTCCTTGGTGATGGAGCAAATTCGCTCCTTTCCCAGAGTGAAACTGGAGTTAGCTATTTTACTCTCTTTTTTGAGAAAAATCGCTCCCCTTTTTCTAAGAGTTTATGGATCAATTTGAAGTATTTTGGGCTCACGTGATGTGACGGAGAACGGGGGTTCAAAATGCAATGGAAGTGGGCCTTTCTTCCCAATTTAAGCACCAACGTCTTTGGCATGAAACAATGAACAGGAAAAACTCCCTTTTTTAAGGGATTGTCAAAGGATTTATGGATTGTCAAAGAATGTAGGATAGGTGAAATGCATATCTGAAATCAAATCACGGTGCTGGTATGATACGAGACCCATAAGGAGTGCGGTAGTGGTTAATATGAATGAGAATGAATCCGGAGCGGCACTGAATGCGTTTCAGACGTGATACCTTCGTAAATGTATGAGAAAGTCTGTTTTTCCCATTTCGCTTCTCTTTCTCTCCCGCAGTTGATTCATGTGTCATATCGTACCATTCCGTTTTTAACCGGGTCATCAGGCCTTGGTTTCGGAGTGGCGAAGTGACGACATTATCTGATCTGTAACTCGCGCGACAGAGCAGGTTTCTGCTAGTCTATTTTAATTAAGATTTTCACTGGTTTTCTAGCTACAAGAACATCGTCATCCCTAAGGGCGCTGTGATACAGATACCTCTTTATGCTCTTCATCGTGAACCAGACCCATTCCCGGACCCTGAAGAATGGAAACCTGAACGATTTCTGAAAGGGAACGAAACGCACGATCCCTATGCATATCTTCCCTTCGGTAGCGGTCCACGGATATGCATTGGACAGAGGTTTCTATACATTCCATTCATCTGTATTACGTTAGCATTAACAACACTGAACTACTCAGTCAAAATAGATTCATCACAATAATAGCTTTAAGGAAGAACTCGATGAAATAATGGTTATTAACAGGATATTTAAAAAACGAAAGAAATAAAACTTCAAAAATAGGTGTGACAATGAATTCATTAATAATAACCTGACATAAGGATGTCACATGATTTTAAAATGAACTTCTCATACGACATCCTAGCATTGAAGGGAGTATGTAAAGGGATTTGACTGTTGCTTTAAAGTGGCCCATGATGGATGTGTTCGTCTAATTTGTCTGGATGTGCCTAATTTGTCTCTATTTGGTCGGGGCGAACAGGCTCTCGCTGGAGATCGTACATTACGCCATGCTACACATTTTGAGGGAGATGGAGATAGTGAAAACGCCGGAGACCCCAGAGAAGCCGGTATTCCTTTCGGGTTACCGAGTCGCCATTCATCCGACCAACATTGTCCTCGGCTTCCGGCCTCTCCACTAATTACATATATTCACTTCATCAAGGGATCTTCCTCAACCCCTGTAACACTACCAATTACCTTTCCTGCCTCTTAAACCACTCCTAATCTCTCATTTATTCATCGAGATTATCACTCCCACTTCACAGTTGGCTTCGGAACTCACCCCTGATTCTCTGCAAGCACTTACTTGAAGCAAAATCATTCACACGAACTTCTAATTGTGACTAATGGAGATACACATGGGTCAAATGGTTGAATGAAGCACTGTCAGTGAGGAAGTCAATACGAGGACACTGAAAAATTCTGCCAGTGGGAGGCTTCATATATTAGTGTGGAAGGCTTGCTTTTCAGAATGTCGGCGAATTTCAGAATGTCACCATCCTCATTTAAGCAACAATGATTATAAATGAACCTGACAAGATAATAAATCACTATTTTTGAAGGGGAAAGACAGAGAAATGAGCCTCCGGCTGCCATGGGGTCAAAAGGTAGATGCAGTTGCTGGCCCACTACCTATTGTAGGAGGAAGGCCACCAGCTCAAGGAGAGCTCGTCGCATTCCAACAGCTCAGGGTGGAGCATGTATGTAGCTGGCACTCCTCCAGATGCAGTACCAAGAGTCCCCACTAGATAATATCCCCATTCCCTGCATCCTATAATTTTAAATGCTATGAAGTACCTGACTTCCTGATTTATAAAGTTTTTCTTCCTCATTTTTCCTCTTTTTAATATGCAATTTATTAACAGATGAAAGAATAGCGTAGAAATATGATGTTTTGATTGCAATATGAGACTATGGAATTTATTAAATGTTGAAGTTAAGAACGGGAATTCATAAGTGTATGGGAGGGTAGAGAGGCCCAACTTTCTAACATCCAATCATATACAGTATATGATGTGCCCTGATACTCAGACTTCTACTCACTTCCTGAGTTCCATGTTGGTAGCAGAAGAGGAGAGCCGTAGTTTATCATGGTACTCTTGAGTACTTCTCCAGATGCAAGATTTAAAAGTAAATCAGATATACAGTGAAGCAAAAGGACCTTTCATAGCTGGTGGAACACCACAAACTAGCAAAGTGGTAATGTGCTGGGCCTCAAGCGGTTCGGAAGGTGGCGGGTCATTGCTGCCAAGTGGGATATGTACCTGGTGGCCCACAACCTCATAAAGTTGGTAGGCCACCAACTCTCTTCCCTAAATGTAGGTGCTGCTACTACACATGCTACTTGGTGCTACTTGGGAAGTTCATCCAGCGGTCGGAGGAAGTTTTCCGTCAAAACAACTATCACGTTGAACGGAATGTTACGGGCAAATAATTCGCAAATAATAATTTTCCTGCTGAAGTAAAAAATATGTTCATCAATTTATGTGTGTCCTTTTATTTACAAATGAAAACCGCTAAGATCTACACCTTTCTTGATAAGTTCCTCGGGCAGTATTGCTATTGGTCAGTGGATTCCAAGGAACAGCGAGACAACGGTGAAAGAAATTGAGGATATTGCTAGAGAACAGTGCTAGAGAACAGTTACTGCAGGGCTTTATGGAGGAATGCATCCACAGGAAATCCATAAAATCGGGCAAACAACCGGTCTGGTTTACGGATAAAATCAAAGCTCTCATCAGGGATAAAAAGAGGAAATGGGATGCGTACAAGCGGACTGGAGATAAAACGGACTCTGAGGAATATAAGGAGGATCACACGGAAGTTGAAGCGGGAAATTAGATCTGCGGGACGGGAGGTCGAGGAACGGCTGGGTAGCGATGCTAAGAAGAACCCTTTGGCTTTTTATCATTATGCTAGTGGTAGGTGTCAACAGTCGATCGGGCCGCTAATGAACGAAAAGAGGGAGTTGATTGCAAGTGATAAGGGTATGGCCTTAACTTAACTAGGTCTCTCGACACGTTCGGCGATGTTAAATTGGATGAGGCAAACGGGGAAAGAGATTTAGGAGTCAAGCAAGTCCAAAACGGTTCAACAAAAAATCACTTCGGAAGCTGGAGTATCAAACATTACAGAACTTTACCACTTACCTGTAAATAATAATTTAAAAAAAAAAAACTGATCCGCTATGAGAGTGGACATTTGAATCGCCCTGTATATCACCTGGCATAAGCCAAAAAATTGCTAGCTCTCACTGAGAAGACTAGTTGCCAACGACATCTGCAACATGAAGTTCAACACGTTGCTCGCAACGCGTGGAGTTCCTGTGGGCTCTTCTCCCCCGACACGCGTGCGGCATACTCTCGTAAACAGTAGGTTTTCTCAGACTCTTCGTGTCTGGAGATCATGAATAATCTACATGCAGTCAGAAGTCGTAAGCGGTGAACGAAGCGGGGACATGGAACGACAGATCCATTTAGCTGGAAAAGTAACTAATGCCCGTGCTGTAAGGGATGCAGTTGCATCGTGAAGGTGCATGGTCCGGAATGGTCACATTTGTCCACTCTCGCCGCTTCAGAAGAATTGCTGGCGAAAGCTTCTTACCAGCCATGAGTGCACTGTAATAAAATTTCATGGTAATAAATAAATAAAAAAATAAAAAACAAGTAAATTAATGAATGAATGATTAAATACAAACATGAATAAATAAATATGTAAATAAGTTGATAATACATAAATAATTTAAGAACTTTCGGGAAAATCCTGGGAAAGCATGAGCGACTTTGTAGCTTCCAATATAAGGAATGTTAATTCTAACCTTGAAGTCGAAGCGATCTTTCCCTATTTTCGCCCAGTCATGTTCTTTATGGAAAATTACTTGAAGGAGCTGCTTCCTAATCATCCAATGAATATATTTCCTTCCAACTTCTGGACTTCTCCAATTCGTAATCGGATCTATCCATTTCAGGATTCTCGTGAGTTTCGGCAGTTTTCAAGCACGAGTCTGTGGGGGTCATTCCTCCTCGTTTAGGATCTCCTCCGTCACGTTGGTTGTCCGATGATGCCCTTTTCCCTCTTTGAATTCCTTTAGCCGGATCTTCGAAAAATTACATGCACTATATTATGCTTCACATTACATTTAATAAGATCATGACGCACTCTCGTCTTTCTCTCCCTTCTCAAGGACAGAGCGATAGGTGCAACTGATCGATTAAAACTACTCATAGAAGTTGTTTTTTTTTTTTTTGGAGCACCGTTCATGCTCTCATGGCCGTTGCGTGAGACATAGATCCTCGGAGTGTGTAAGCGCGGTTACTTAATTATAAGACGTTGAAAAAAATTAAATGATCATAGGCATTGTAAGACAAATTGGAAATATGAAAGTTCCAAGCGTGATAAGGAAACTCAAATGTTTCTGTGTGCGGTACGGGAAAGTCAAAAGTGACACTAAGGAAAGTCAAAGGCGTCACTCTGTTGGTCGTGGGATTTTAAGGAAAAGCATGTTCTACATAAGTAAAGTCAAATGTGAAAGTCGAATTTCTTGGCTGTGCAAGAAGGCATGCGCGCTCTCCTTGCATTTTAATTCTCGTTACACACGGCTCCATATGGAAATTCACGAATCTATTTGAATGTGACGTCCTTTTTCCATCCATCATACTGGCAACGTTTCATGTCAAGATGAATAAGAACGGAAGTCATTGACTGCAAGAATAGATGCCAACAATGTATGCTGTCGTAATAAAGCTTGGTCCTTGGACCGTGATACAATCAAAAATTGGGGAGGGGAGCCCATATTCCAAAGGGAAAATGGTGGAAGGAGCAAATATTTTGGCAAAGCAAAAAATGCAAACAATACTGGGTGGCCCAAAAAAAAAACGCATCGTGTTTGATGCCTTATAAAATCCGTTTTGGATGATCTAGGCACGTGATATTTTATATTACATAGGAAACACCATAAAATTTGTTTCCTTAAAGGTTCATGTATGCAAGAAATTATATATATTAATCGGCAAGTCTCCATCCGTCTGAAATGCTCTGCGTAGTCCAGTCTAGGCTAGTCTAGTCGCTCTTTGTCTGTCCTGCACGGGTCGACTTTCCCTCACTCTACCCGACGGGCTCGAATCTAATCTCGGCCTGGGCCCGACCCGAAACCCCCGACNAAGTTACCAAATTCAACAATAGAACATGGTTCAATTTTCATTTCTTTTATGAGGGCGTCCAAGGGTTTCTTAACCATTGGACCCCCTTAAATGCATTAGTCTGACAAATTCATTGAGCTGCAAAATACACTGAGTGAATCCTTCGAACAGGTTGAAGTTGCAAAAGTTTCTTCAAATTTGCAAACTGATGGGAATTTTCAGCTTGAGGGGTCGCCCCCTTACTCTCTCAGGAATGGAGACTGAACTCGACGTTCTGTCCCTCTTTCTTCCCCCGAACCTTCTACTTTCTTCATGCCTCCCCTCATGATTCTTATCTTCATCCCTTTATTCTCATGAATGAAGGGAAATGTCTCTAGAAATTTCAGGAAATTTTCGTTCATTTCCTTTATTCATTTTGCGATGCAATACAACCTTTATTTAAAAGGTGATATTGTATCGCAAATAAAAAGAAAAAAGAAAAGCATTGAACGTTGAAGGTGTAGGGTGAAGCCCTGAGCCCCGTCCTTTTATTAGCTGGTAAAGGTCTATTTCAACGCGTTCTTTCTCTGTTCCGTTTATTTCATCATCGGCAGACTTCGTTGTATAAATATTTTTTTACGCGATGGACTTACGGAGTCTTGCGGATGGACTGATCATACACTTATGGAGTATATGATCACTGTGCCGCGATGTCAGCATTAAGGAATTGGAAAATTGGGTTCCGTAAATAAATGTTCTTTGGATACCCAGCCATTTCGGATTCGAGCCATTCGTCATCATTTGCTCTACACGTGAAATGGTAACTACGAGGAAGAAGTACGCCAAAGAAGAGAGGCTTAAAATGATGTATCGCGGAAAGAATTTCAAAACCGGGCGAATTCGTCCTAGATCGTCCTAGATCCTTAAACATTGAAACATCTCAACAGAACAATGCCGAGTGAAACGTATGTCATCTCACAATGAGTTGCGATGAGTCACATAGAGCTTAACGACTGCACCGGGATGAAGGCAGGGTTGATACTGAAGGAGAAATTACGGAAGTCGATCTGTATGATCAAAGCATCACGTCGGGTTTATTTGCTAGGTCACTCTTGACCTCGCCTCGTCCTTTGTGTCACTTGCACCGTTTACGCTCTCATGGCCGTTGCGTGAGTCATAGATCCTCTGAGTGTGTCGGCGCGGTTACTTAATTATAAGACGTTGAAAAAAATTAAATGATCATAGGCTTTGTAAGACAAATTGGAAATATGAAAGTTCCTAGCGTGATAAGGAAACTCAAATGTTTCGCTGTGCTGTACGGGAAAGTCAAAAGTGACACATAGGAAAGTCAAATGCGTCACTCTGTTGGTCGTCGGATTTTAAGGAAAAGCATGTTCCACATGAGTAAAGTCAAATGTGAAAGTCAAATTTCTTGGCTGTGCAAGAAGGCATGCGCCCTCTCCTTGCATTTTAATTCTCGTTACACACGGCTCCATATGGAAATTCACGAATCTATTTGAATGTGACGTCCTTTTTCCATCCATCATACTGGCAACGTTTCATGTCAAGATAAATAAGAACGGAAGTCATTGACTGCAAGAATAGATGCCAACAATGTACGCTGTCGTTATAAAGCTGGTCCTTGGACCGTGATACAATCAAAAATTGGGGAGGGGAGCCCATATTCCAAAGAGAAAATGGTGGAAGGAGCAAATATTTTGGCAAAGCAAAAAATGCAAACAATACCAGGTGGCCCAAAAAAACGCATCGTGTTTGATGCCTTATAAAATCCGTTTTGCATGACCAAGACACGTGATCTTTTATATTACATTGGAAACACCATAGAATCTGTTTCCTTAAAAGTTCAGGAATGCAAGAAATCATATATATTATTCGGCAAGTCTCCATCCGTCTGAAACGTTCTGCGTAATCCAGTCTAGGCTAGTCTAGTCGCTCTTTGTCTGTCCTGCACGGGTCGACTTTCCCTCACACTACCGGACGGGCTCGAATCTAATCTCGGCCTAGGCCCTACCCGAAACCCCCGACATAGCTAAACCCAATACTAGGCGAGTAGGACTTGCGGATCGTGTCGGGCAGATCCGACTGACCCGCAAGCCTACTTAGGCCTCTGAGCAGCTACGGACAAGCCCTGCTGGAGAGAGTTGAGATCCTGCGCATGCGACGCAATCACATCAGGGATGTCCGTTCCACTGGAAAAGCAAAAGAAGCCCACACCTCCGTCAGTAGGTTAAGAGGCAAATTTGGAACATTGTATTTAGATGGTCAGCTGTCTTCGATTAGTTATATAGGTGTTAATCGCCAGAGTTCGTCAGTCTGAAACACTCTGCGTAGGCCGAGGGCTTCCACTCGGGATTTTCAACTTTCTTTCAAAAACTCTCGCTCATTTCGAAGTTGTGATCCCGCCTCGGACCTGATCGAAATTCTATCGTTTTCGCCTCCCATAATTCGACGTACGACGGTCGCAGGGATAAATTGAGAAAAGCACTGCCTCGAATGGGTTCTCTCCCTTGACGTCATTGATACCAGTTTTCACACCAGCAGAATTCTGGGTGGTATCGATTCTGATGCTATGATGTACGACAGTAGTTATATTCCACGTTGCGTAGAATACTACCACCGTGGTGCTACAATTCATAGACTTTCCCTCTCCATAATTAGATGTAATAATGTCAAAAAGTTTTCGAAGACTTTCCCTTTCTTCAA